GTCGATAGTGCGCCGTACCCCGGTTATTTCCTGTTCCTGTTTCGAGTACAGGCCCCAACAAAGCTTCATCAACTCCTACGCATCCCACGGGGTTGCCGGCGGCCACGGCGATCCGGCGGCTAAGAGGCTGGAGATGGGCGATCCGTTTATCGATTGACGTGAGGGCGCGGGCGCGCGGGAAAGACGGGCGACAAGGGTTGGATATGGATCGGCCTGAGGAGCCCGCGGCGACGGCGACGGCGACGACGACAACGATGGCTGGAGTCGCCGTCGACGCTGATGTCCTTTCTCACGCGCCTGCTGCGCGGAAGGGCTGGCGGGCACGCATGGAGGCACGGAGGGCGGCTCACGCGTGAGGACGGCCGGGCTTTGGCGAAGCTGGTTGGTCTCATGGGGTTCGGGGAGAGGGGGACACCCCCCTTTCTCTCTGTTCACAACTTGTGTACTTTTTTTTCTTTTTTTTGCATTTCACCACGGCGTTTTGGACAGGCGGGCTTACGCGGGGACGCTGTATTGTTACAACTACCTGAGCTGTACGGACTATCTCCCCCCCAACGAGCGGACGGTAGGCTGTGGGGAGGAGGAGGCACGGGGGCGGAGGACTGTATAATTTTTCAGGGGTGTGAAGCATCATGACATGACAATGTCGAGCATAAGGGCGGCGGTGGTTTCGATAGGAAGGGCATCCTCCCCCCCCCCTCGGGCAAGGGCGAGCTGGGCTTTTTTTGCCCTGTCCCATGGGGTGGTGGTGGTGGTGGTTTGAATGTTTGAACTTGGCACGGGAACCGGACTTGCATAGAGATCACAGCGAAAGGAAACAACATGATTTTACCACGCTCACTGCAACGACAAGTTGATACCACGGAGGTACCTGGGCGTCGACGCGGGTGACTTTGCACGTGTCGATCGCCGGTAGTGGTTGATGCAGAGCCGAATAGGCGAGACGTGATTTGAGCCGGGGGTGGCGTCTGTCCTCATGGTCATGGCATGACGGTTATTTGGCGAGGCGGCGGCGGCGGCAGACACTTCAGTCCAGGTGGAACAACATCCAGCCATCCAGCCATGCCGTCCCCCTTTCACGTTCTTCGGGCCGTCTGACGACCGGCGGGGATCCCTGGCGATGGCACACTTGGCCATGCACGCGTGAAGCGAGAGAGCTACTGTACAGTCTCAAGTCCATGTACAGGGTCCTTCGTCCGCGTGCCAGGGTCAGACGGACGGCATCAGATTGTCCGGTGTGAGGAGCAAAACGAAAGAATGGGGAGAACCGGACGAGGGACGAAGCACACACGGCATGCGTCCGGCCACCGGCCGCCCGGTGTGCAACTGGGATGCGCGGCTAAAGTCGACATGGCGTCAGGGGGGGAGGGACGGCCACAGAAAACACGCTGATGCTCTGCCGCCATGACGTCCCAGGGGTCTTGCGTTGCAGCCGATACCGGGTGACGAGGCTCAGATGCCTTGCAGCAGCAGCAGCAGTGCAAGCGAAACTTTTTTTTTTTGCTCTCTCGATGCATGTGAGGTGCAGTGCATGTCGGTCCTGGCCCTGGCAGGGGTATGTCGATGATGCGGAGAAGAATCGCGTTCTGCCTGGCTAGTGGGCGCGAGGTTGGTTCTCGCCCGCTCTAGGGCACGAAACGAGGTAACATGGGATGAACGGCTGTCGGGCTTGCATGTGTGGCATGCTTCGCAGGCACACGCACACACACACACACACACACACTTCGCGCAGCACATGGTTGCGTCTGGGCACGGCGAGAGAATGGCCGGAGGCTTGAATGGGAAAGTTTTGAGGCCGCGCAGGTTTTCCGTCTCAAACCATTTTACTTTGGTTTTCGTACCCATGATGGAATCTTGTCCTGCGCTGCAACGCCTCGCTGGTCTCTCAGGTGACGACCCATGCTGCTCTCTCTCGGGGCACGCTCTCCACCATGCTTGAGGCCAGCGGCAGCCAGCGACTACTGCAGGGGAATACGTCGTGATGTGTTAACAGGGCGCTGGGAGTGATTTCGGTCAATCTCGCCCGCCACGGACCGATTAGCACGGCGCGCTCGAGCAGAGTGACAGGCGATACTCGGCCTATTCTACTTCACAACATGGGAGGGCATGTGACAGGCGAGAGGCAAGCCTACATGTACACACGTGAAGACGATTGACGAAAGCCGAGCCCAAGGTCACACTGCAGCGTCACTGCATGGCGGCGCGCACTGCTGGGAGGAGGCGAAATGCGGAGGGTGCGATGGTGCGAGGGTGCGGTGGCCGCGGCGCGGAGCGAGATGAGACGACAGGCCGTCTCGAACTTGAAGGCTAGAGGATGGGCGCATGGGCTGGCTGCTTTGTGGCAGGCCTCGTTGGACAGCGATGGCGCTGGAATATCGGCCCAGCGGATGCGTCTCTGGTCAGTGGCTGCAAGGGTGCCATGTGCGCCTGGTTGTAGACCGGTCCTCGCTTCGGGCCACCGGTCTGTGGTTGCAAATAGTCTTGTCGGAATGTCAAGTGCGTGATAACCGTGGTGTGCCGTACCTAGGTTGTTGACCCTGGCGGACGCCTTTGTCTCGTTGGTACCGAATATGCCCGACATCAGGTCGGGTACCAACTGACATGGTGATGAGGTCGCATCAGCAATAGAGCTATTCATGGGCATGCCGTCAGCTCTGCATCACCCTGCCGTCGACAGCGGCTTCTCTAGGGTCAGCGGCGGCAAAGGGACGGAAATCATCCATGACTGAACAGCACTAAACAGCTCATCACTCGTCTCATCTCGCAAATGCCGACTCATGGCTTCCGTTTGTGTCTCAGGTCTCCCCAAGCCCAAGACCGGGAACGCTCCCCTAGTGTGGTTGAGCAGGTTGACAGGGCCAAATACAAGTCTCGGTTGAGGGGACTGCCGCAGCTAGTCAAGTCGAACAGCCGTCGGTGCGTGACGATGCGATGATGGAAATGATGGAGTCAACTACCTTGTTCCATGACACGCCGGGTAGTTTCCACCCGAACAGGCCAGAAGAAGGCATTCCTCGTCTGGCGGTGCCTCGTCTGGCGGTGAAGGCAGCTTGCAGCAGCAGAAGATCCCGTATCCTTGGCCCTGGCGGAAGAGGTACCTAGCACCCAATACTGACTACCTTATCCGACGATCTTCGTGTCGCATTCGTTCGAGTCGTGGATGGTAAATTGGCGGGAGATGAAAGAGACGAACTGGGTCTGACCTGATGCGGTGGATGATGGGTACCGAGAGATCAGGAGTCCCACGGGGACGATTCCATGCCCACACGCAGCCTAGCGTGCTTGCCGCTGGACGAGGTTCCGGCGATGGTAGACGGTGTTGTTGCATGCATTTAGGCGTCCTGGCGTTCCAAACGGCTGGGAGGCTACCATTCCACCCACATATGCGCTCTCTCGAACGATCACGCTGTCTCTCGTGGCATCAGTGACTACATGTACCATCTCGTCATTTCGCGGGGTGAGCAGCACGATGATTTGTGAGAGAACCAGATTTGACATGTAAGCCACGCTGTTTCGAGAAGTTACTTGCTCCGCCAGCCACTGGGACTTTGCTTCGGACACTACAACCCCGTCAGCACGGGTGCGCGGAGGAATTGCCCATGAAGCACTCACGCATCCGGCATTGCAGGTCCAGAGAAGGGTCAGCCTCGTAAACAGGACATTTTCAGATTTAGTTGGTTATACGGAAAACCGACCATACTTCACCCAATGTTCGCATTTCTCGACATTTCGACAAGTTTGACCCTGCCGACTCCATGAGCACGCGCCTTCAAGAAACAAACCCCCTGTGCATGAGCAATCGTTCAGATACCATGAGTTATAGCAAGGCTTTCTGGCCAGCGCAAAGATTGATCGACATTCGATGAGCACGGGAGTGAGGTCCAAACCAAGCACGGGGTGTTCGTTCTTCGAGATCTCTGGATGCAAGAGACTAACGGCTCAACCGATTAGCTCATGGGCCACTCGGCCGAAAGCCAAGTGGCCAACATTTGGCGG